TATGTACCAGTATGCGTGCATATATTATGTAAGCAATATTATGTATTTTATGTAACAGCATATGTGATAGATCAGAGGAGGACAGAATGGCTGGGAGTGGGAATAGGGGTCAGTGATATAAGATTCTTATTTCAGCTCTCAGTGCAGTGGACATTCCACGCCCCTGTCCATCTGTGGACTGTGATATGTGTCAGTATGTTAGTGTGGTAGTGCCTGTAAAATGGCAGCTTGCACTGGATGCTTCCCGGGAAGTTAAGATTATTTCAGAATTCAAAATGCTTTCAATTCTCCTGGGATAATCATATAGATTGCAAAGCCCAAAGAGCATGCTGTTGAGTGGGAATTTGTGCTATACAAAAGCTATGTATTATTAAATATTATCATCATTGTCATTATTATCGTTATTATTATTATTTTAAAATATTTTTTTTACCACTAATACTTTTAATTGATACCATTATTATTATTATAATTATAATTATATGATAATGATGTATCGGTCAGTTTCTGTGCTCCTGGCCTCATGTCCTGATGTGGTTAGATGAAAGCAAGAGCCACTTTGTCAAAAAAGAAAATTTTCATCCCAAATGTCATATTATTATCATAACAACAGTTAATGTATAATTCTTTTTGTACGAGTTAATTATGTTCTGCCTTGCTAGGTATGGTGTGGTGAGAATATCTTTGTTGATTCGGGAAAGTAATTGGGGCTAGGCTTGAGGGAGGGGCTGTTCCAGACCTGGTTGATGGTAATGGGGTTAATAATGATGATGATGATGATGATGATTTTTTTTGTTTCCTTAATGGGCCTGGTGGACTCCACGAAGAAGTCTTCGAGCGAGAGCGAGGCTCTTTTTCGGCTCCATTGTCATTATACTCAGAGGCACCTCCACCCCTCCAAATAACTCCATTTGAATTGCCATTGTTCCTGGACGTTCAAACATATATCTGACATCTTCCTTTTCATGGTTGCATCTTCGGCAACGTAGGTTGAGCTCTTCATTCAGAAAGTTCTGATACCATCTCATGCAGATGATGATGATGATAATGATGATGATGATTATGATGATGCATGTTGATGATGATGATGGTCATATGAGATCGCCTGGAAAGGGGGTTGAAGTAGTGGGTTTAGGAGGGTGGGAAGGGGGTTTGATTGAAAGGATCTCAGTGTGTCTTGTCTTGACATCATTGATGTGGAGGGTTGTTTGGGTGTTTTTCTTTGGAAATGATGGTCCAGAATTTTGCTCAATGTTGTTGTTGTTGTTATGAATACCTGATTGTCTTATTTTTTTTTCTCCTTCAGTGCTGGAGGGTCCAACGTGTGTACTTATACCTTCAATTGCCTGTTTGTTTGGTTTTTGGGTTTTTTCATATTCGGCTCACCACTCTCTATTTCTCTGTGCGCCCCCACCCCTTTTTCTTCACGAACATTTTCTCCTGGACACTTCCCTTCAATGTCTCTATTTGTCAACTGCTTTTAGTCCTCTTGTTCCTCCCTCTCTTTCCTATCTCTCTCTCTCTTTGTTTCTATTTTGGTCTCTATTTCTCTGCTTTCCTCTCTGTCTGTCTCTTTGTTTGTCAATCCGCCTCTTTCCCTCTTCCTCCCCC